GTTATAATATAACGGTAATTTTTAGAAATACGAAATCTGCGATAAATCAGTAACTTCTAAAGCAAATTGACTCAAAATTAATTCTTTAGCCAGAAATACGATTACAACATATTTTTCGAAAATGGGCGTGAAACCGCTCACTTATGACCACAAATGTGTACCTCGATAACCTTTCTAACAATTTGTACCAAACTTGGTATAATTATTGTACTGGGCACAAAAACGCAGTATGTATGTAGTAAATTTTTGAAAACGGAATAAAATTAAGCCCACTTTTTATATAACGGTACATTTCAGATATGTGGAAACTTCGATAATTCGAGATATAACGATGATAATTTACTCAAAGTTAATACCAACAACAACCCCTTAAAAATAAATAAGATTAAACTGTTTGAGGCTAAAAGTTAAGGAAAAGAGTTATGAAGAAGTTGAGAATTTCAGAAAGTGAAAAAATGTTAAACAATATCGCATGGACTACTTGTCCTGATCCACTACCTGTTTCTCAAGAGGCTCTTGCACCAATTGCTTCCTTAGAAAGAAAAGTATTAAAAGTATTGATTCTGACTAATCAAAAGAACTTTTATGATTGCACGCAGTATCAATTATAAATGTATTCGGATCAGATTCAATTAAAAATATAAAAAACATAGACATGCCTAAGGGCTAATTCACTTCATTTTCGCTATGGTTTTTTGTATGTATGGATGATTTTTTTCTTTCCTTTTAGTAAGGTGTTCATACAAATGCAAGTTCAACTTAATTTTAATCTTGCATCTATACTTTCATACCTTCGTTTTTGTCAATCAAATCTTAATCCAGATTTTGTTATGCATATTTGTCTGCCAAAAAAATGTTAACGAACCGCAAAAAATTATTTGCACACTTGACCCACAATAGCTAAATGGCATTCCTTGCGACTGATAAACAAAATTGCAAAAATATTTGTATGCGGCATTTTCTCTATGAAAACTGAAAATGAAATCAAACCGCATATGAAAGAAACTAGCACAAAAACGTTGATTTATGATCGCCAACCACAAAGTGAGTGAGTGAGCTCGCTGCATTAAAAATAAAACCTTGAGTATTTAAGCTTTTCATGAAAACCAAAATCATATTTTACACCACAAATAAATGAAAATAACATTAGCAGTCAGTTAGCAGGAGTACATGTGTTTGTAACCAGTAAATTCATGGCAGCCATGATCTTGATTCGCAACCGGTATGTGAACTCTTCGCTACAAAGGCATTCGCCAGATGGCAATAAAATAAAAGTAAATACAAACAGGATCAACTCGAAACTGGGTATATGTGTTTGTTCGTGTGTGAATACAGCATCCCAGTGGGAAAATGTAATGTATGGTAATCGAAAAAATAATCAGTAAAACAGCCATTTTCACATTCGAAAATGCATTTTTCCCCGCGCCGCCACGATGCATTTTTTCCCCACGCGCGCCGATGTCCTAAGAAAAGTGGGATATTCAATCTGGCATTACCTATTAATCGAGAAATGTGTTCGATTGAATATGAATTTTTTGGTTCTTTTTGGATACATTAGAATGCTGATTAAATAAATATTAATTAGTAATTGAATCTAAAACACCTAAGAAAATCATTACATTATTTATCAGGCACGTAACGCATTATGTACTACTTTTACCACTGGGATCAGACACGTTCGAAAATGTGTACGATTATAGCTAACTCAGATTGCTGCATGCTATGCACAAAGATGCGTTTCCAGCCAGATCGTGCAACTCTGCCACTAACTACTACTAAAAGTTTTGCGGGCTTCAGCGCAGCAACAACTGTCACACATGGAAATAGCAAACCATCTAAAGGCAATGGAAGTGCACACAGGTTAAAATGAATTGATAGACAGATAAAAAAAAACATAGAAAAAACATGTTCGCAGCCAATTTACTGAGAGCACGCACTAGGAACACCCATCGTTGGCACCGCTTGCAGCAAATTTCAAAAGCAGCATGTCATTGTGGCGCATACTTGTTGCAATAAAGCGAACGCATACCATTGAGCAGAGTATTTGAAAATTTAATTAAAAATATTTGTAAATGAAGCTGTGCAAAAGCGCAGATTGCTAGCACATCCGAAAACACAAAGTCCATTAGTAATGGAAACGTGAAAAACTGAGTTTGCTTAGTTGGTAGTTTCTGTATTTTTAGATTGCAGGTGCGTTGATTCGGTTTGTATGATTGGCCTTGGCTGCCTGCACATTTTTTGCAAGCCTTATTGGCGTAGAAAAATTTGTTAATTAAGTAAATAAAATAAAAATCAATGAAATTGTCCAAATTTGTTTGCATAAATATTTAATTATGCTAGGAAAACTAAATTCATGATCATGTTTTTTTTTGTAAGATAAACACTGGCTAAACACTTTAAAGCCTCTTTTTTTTAATTATTACTAGCTTTCAAATAGACATCCAGGTACAGTAATTTACCGATATCTCGACAAATAACGAACGCAATATTCTCTGCGACGAGTAATTTTGTTTGTCAAAGTTGTGGCTATAAATATTAGCGTTGATAAAAGATTTAAAAAAATTTTCTAAGAAATAATCAGCTTTTAAAGCATGATTTTCGGGTTTTTCTCGTTTTTTTTTAAGACTTTTTCGTAATATCTCAAAATGTAAGGGTCAGATCGAAAAATGGTCCTGCCCAACGTGTTCAGTGACCTCAAAAAACATATTGTAAGACCTTAAAAAACTTCAATTTCGTAAGGAATTTCATGTGCGCATGTATTGAAGGAAGAGTAATTTTAATCACTTGAGGCGGAGGCACAAAACGTCCTCTAAATATAATGGAAGCTAAAAAGTCAAAACGGTCAAAAAAAAAACACTTTAAATTTTTTCTGGTCACTCTAATATATATATTATAAATGAATTATATAAAATCACAGTTTTCTCGAAAAGTTATCAAGATACGATTTTAATTTTGATCCGAGATGGCTACTGAAACATCGACTTTTAATATTCTGCAACAATATTGTGAGTGGTTTTCATGTGAGATTAAAAATTTTTCTACGCTACCGTGACTACTAAATGACAAATTTATATTAATTTGTCATATTTGCAAAACACTTCGGGCAGCCATAAAGGCCTAAAACAAGACTCTACTTAAAGTAAGGAGCCAAGACATCCGCATAATGACTGAAGTTCTTACCGGACATTATCTGATTGGATTTCACGCAGTTAAAAGACGCGCAACCTACATATGAGCTGTTTAATTTGAAAGTGGTATAAGTCACTTCACACCTCTTGTACTTATATCACTGCTTGCTTGTATTTGGACGAGTCGGTAATTTGTTCATCTCCATCAACCAAAGGTAAAAGGTTAGTTCATTAGTTTACGGCGATAGAAAGACTTACACATGCATTTGCTTACAAGTAACCGGTCATTTAAGTACAAGAGGTATGAAGTGACTTATGCCACTTTCAAAATAAACGGCTCATATATCGACGAATATAGAAGTTGCATGGACTTTGACTAAGAAGAAACCATCGAAAACTAACTCTGCCATTACCCGGCACACGTAAAACCGATAGCAAAAGATCTTGGCAGCTATTTCTTTGCATATGTGGCTGACCCAAATATAAATCGCTTTTAGGAGTTTATCCAATTTTTTTTTTTTTGTTGACTACCAAGTGGTTTTCTTGTCGTGTAATAACGCGTACGTTCATCGGCGTGGCTTATTTCGTTAATGTCGCAACGGCAGGTACCCAAGGAATGTGTGCGCGAAATGTCCCAGCCATTTCTTTAAGAGATTTTGAAGCCAGCTAAATTTTTCGCAGGGATTTAATAGCCGCTTGGTGGTCTGCGAAAATGTACAGTGGGGAGCAGAAATGAGTACATGGTAATTTTTGTTACATATTTGCAAGGTTTTTAAAGTTAAAATTTTTTCATAAAAATATGGTTCATGGTTTAACCAAAACCATATAAATTAAGCTTTCAAACTTTATATATGTAGAGTCTAGAAAAATTTAACAATTTTTCATAAAAATATAGTTCATGATTTAGCCAAAACCAAATAAATTAAACTTTCAAACTTTATACAGAGTCTAGAAAAATTTAACAAATTTTCATTAAAATTTAAAATTTTTAATCCCGAACATAGGGTAAGCCAAAGTCATCGGTGCAGGCTACCACTGTACCGTTCTTTATTTCTATTTCTTTCAGCAAGATGTGAATTTTAGTCTCTAGAACGGGTGATAACATTTGTGACAGAGGTGTAACTCTGCATTTATAGTCCGATCTTTGAAGAGGTTCCTCACAAACGCCATCGGAATATTGCATAGTCCAAGTTCTTGGATCGGCGAGATGATTTGTTGAGTGTATCTTGGGCAGCCGAGAGCTTCGGACTGCCTATTGGCCTATAAGTATGTGTTCAATATGAACCCCAGTGACTCGAGTAGAAAAGAAGAGAGGCTTACCTGTTTGAATCGTTGCGCTTGATTTCTGAAGATTTACCCTTTACTTTACTTTAAGAATAAATACAACTTTTACCTGCGTCCATATTTAAATTGTTTTTTATCTTAGAGTAATTATGTCCAATAGGTTCTGAAGGTCGACAGGTAGTATGCCATCTATTGAATTGGTACTTCCTTAGTAGTTGTGGATGTATTTTCAATAAAATGTCGTTTTGTATCGTTCATGCGAAAACGGTGGTAAAGCAAAAGTTTTGCCGCACCAGTAATTAGTTTCTTTTATTTATTTGCTCATGTTGCACAAACTAAGGCTTAACGTGGAGAAGCGTGACTTTATTCCGCAGGTCTGACAAAGGAGTACATAACCTTTCGACTTATTAAATGTCCTAATGTCAAAAGATCTCGTATTTCCATAAGAATTATTTCTTCACAGTTTTAGCATTTAGTAAATATTTTTTATTTTTGAAATTGCAATATATGTACATATTTACATACGATGAAATTCTTTCCATATTCTTTATATACTAATTTTTTACATTCATTTTTCTTTTCTTCCAGAATTTCAAGGAGAAGGATGCGGGAAAAGTGGTACTCTATACAACAAGTATGGGCATCATACGTGACACTTATGCCAAATGTGCGAATATGAAACAGATATTGCGTACGCTGCTTGTGAAATTCGAGGAACGAGATGTCTTCATGAGCATCGAATATCAGCAGGAGATAAAGGAGCGCATGCACTCGGAAGCGATAAAAGTACCTCAACTCTTCGTGGAAGGCCAACACATTGGTGTAAGTATATACATATGTATGTGTAAGTACATGTCGTTGATGAAATGTAAAAGGCAATAACTAACATTTTTGTTTTCGAAATATAGTTTATTGCTTTTTTTACGTCTTACTTAAAAACTTTAGTTTCGTAACTTTAAAACCAACGATTTCTTTTCAAGAAGCCCTACGCACAGAACTGTATATTTGTATGGGGTATGGCTTTTTGTTTCTCTTGTAAAAAATTAAAATTGTCAGTTAGGGAATTTCTGTATTTCAGCAACGATATAACTTCATATTAAAGTCCTATAAAAATAAAATAGCTGTTTAGGAAGCACGTACTTTACCATGCAATGACTTGCTCATCAAAAGTTTGCAGCGCGTTGTAATACCTAATAAATCATAATAAAATTTATGCAGCTCTTCAATTTTGATGCGCTGAGATGCATTTGACATTTTCATGTTGAACGCTTGCTGTCAAAGGGCCCCAAAGATAATTTCTTGTATTTTTTTAACAAATTTTTTTCTTTTATTATTATTTGTAGTCTAGAGATGTTTCCAATGATTATTTTTTATTTGTGCATACAATATGCTGCAAGCATTTTCTTTTCATTGCATGCAACAGTATTACGAGTGAAGTGGCATCCACGAAAAAATGCTGAATCAACTGAAGTTGCCGTTTGAATGAATGCAAAAGCAAGAAATTAAAGGTGAATAAGTCACGAAGTGGATGCTATATTGTGGTGTGGTGCATCCTCCTTCACCGCACATGCAAGGCCAAAACGTGTTGTCACTGCTGGGAGCGCTGCTGCAATTACTATCTGCAAGGGAGCGCTTGTTAGTATTTTTTTTTTTTTTTTTGTGGCCGTTGTGGACTTGTTTAACTTACACCATGTTCAAATGTATGTATGTTTGTACATACATACATAGTAAGTACATATGTACGTATGTTATGTAACTACATTGTCAAACGACACAAAAATTAGTAATATAGCTCTACAATTCAGTGTAATTTAGAAATACGTATCTAATTGTTTTAAGGGGTTGCACCAACCTGACGGTCGCAAAAATTGGTTAGAAAATAAATTCTATTTTTGACGCAGATATTAGAGTTTGAAAAATGTTGTTTCGAGAAAAAACGCTAAAGAAAAAAAAAAACTTCCACTCCCACTTCTAAGTGCTGTAACTTCTGAAATACTTGAAATTGTTAGAATGGAGGGGCTTTTGAGTAGTGGAATCTTTTAAGTGAAATAAAAAATTTTAGATGTGTAATTTTGCCCCAATAAAATTTTATATTATCTTCAACTGAGCTTGCATTGACTGTAGAAAATAATAAAAAAAAATTGTATATAAAAGTTCCAACTCTTTATGGGGACTGCTCCGAAAATTTTGCGACGAGTAAGTAAATTTTTAATTGAAAATGGCTTTATTTTCATTATGTTATCGAACATCGGTTACCAAGCAGTTATGGCTTGAAGAGGCCAAAGGCTATTTATTAGCTTATTTCTTTCTTTATAACGTTTTTGCGTCTCTTCTAAAACTCAAATATATGCATATGTACTAGGGCGGGTCAATTTTTATGGAAGATTTTTTCGACTATGTGCGTATAGCAAAGAAGGATTCAACATGTTATGCTAAGAAATCTTGCCGAACAAACCATGGGCCTAAAATCAATTTGGAATTTGCCAAAATTCTGACAAAATATTTTTTTATTTTCACTTTTGTTTCAACATAGATTGATTAAAAGAAAAATACTGATGAAAATAAAATATTTCACACAAATAGGGTTGAAATTTTTAAATTCCTGCCCGTATTTGGTTTGTAAGTCAAATATTAGTGGCATTGTGCTACTATGATAGCACATATATATTATAGTTCATTCTTTAACAACATCCGTATAAATACAAGTTTAAAGGCAGTGTCACACGATTGGGTATTTGCCGAAATTTAGTGCAAATCGTATCCCAATTGTGTGATTACCCAAATATTTATCTTTATCCCAATCACGAAAAATAATTTGTTAAAATTTTTCAATAGAAGATTGCTGTATTGTACTAATCTTTTGACTAAAAAAAAATGTTCCCAATTTTTTTATTTTATACCAATAGCTTAATATAAAAATGCACAAATCTGTACAAATGTACCAATCGAATGACACTGCCTTAAAAATTTATGCAATTAAAAAAAAAATATCAACAAATTTTCGTACGAATTTCGAGTTTTTAATTAGATTCTGAGTTTGCAGTTTTGTAGCACATTTAATTTTAGTAGAATAAAGTACAAGTTTCAAATGGCTAAAAATTTGTACGAAAGTTTGTTGTATTTTTATTCTATTTAATGAACGTCATACAACAAAACCATTTTTCAATGCAACCTTATAAGCTGTAATTGCGTAAGATTTTTTGTTCAATCACTATTTAGCACCTCGTAGCGTGCTTACGCGATTCTTTTGTTTCACCATTCACGGCTTAAGTGCCATGCAGAAAACAAAAATAATAAACGCAGAAAACAATTAGTAAACAATTTTTAGACTTCTCTTATAAGCTATTAAATCTGCAGCTGCATTTATTATTGCGCCATGTCTATTGGTATTTAGTCGCGGACAAATCAAACATATTGTATGTATGTAAATATGTACATGTGTACACACAGAAGACGATTAGCCATAGCCAATGCTGCAGCTGCCAGTTATTGTGTTACGTTGGCTGCAATAGATGTTTATTTTTTCGCAACTTACTTGATTTATTTTCAATAGTCGCTGTGAAGTGATATGTATACACATATGTACATATGTATGTATGTATGGATGCAATGATGCAGAAAATGCGTTAAAATCACTTGACATCCTTTCGCAAGCAACGTCGCAGACTACTTTCAAGTATTGTTATGAGTGTTCAGTTTTTTGTTATTTTTTTTCTCGAAACAAAAAAAAAAATTATTCGCACTAGCACATATGAAGCTTTAACAGTTGTTTGCCTATTTCTAAATAACATTTGCTAAATTTCCACATTTGTATGGAAACTTAAAAACTCCCATAAGGATTGCTTTGAATACGTAAGTAGTTTCAAATACTACCCTGCCAGCTTACAGTTCTAAATATTGTAATGAGCTTCTACGCCCTTCCACTCCAGGGCTATAGAATGACAGGAAGGAGTTCTCATTAGCTCATTGTGAACCTCTGCCGTCCGAGGTTTAACTTCACACATAACTCCAAGGCTGGCACAACGAACGAGAAAAACCGCGGAAAGATAGCGACATTTTGTATACTGATGTCTCCGAGATATAACATCGGCCTATGTTATACAATTCAAGAGGCTACTTTTCATTAGCATTGGTAAAGTAAACTATCTCTCAGCGCCAAACATGCATTTACTAAAAAAAAATATGATCTTGTTCTTCTGTTATTATCCTTTTCATGCTCAAATAACCTGCAATATAATTTAGAAACTATTTAGGGGTTTCCCTTAAACTGGTAAAAACCTTGAAAACTTCGAAAAACTCAAATCCGTTTGTTCGGTCAAAAAATCCGGCTTATTCGATATTCGAAAAATCAAGAGGGCTCTACTTTTGCCTACCGAGACCAAAGTAGAACCTACTGGCCAAAGTTATTCTTCGCTTCATATCAAGGCTGGCATTATTGGTGGTTCTTATGATGGATCTTAGATAAACAAATTGCTCGAAATTGTAAGTGCCAATACGTGCAGATTTCTTGAAAGTTACCAGGACATTTGATTAAATTTTTCATACAAAAATTTCCTTTAAGAAATTTATAAAAATTTATGCCAACGTCTGAAACCATCAAAGGAATAGATAACCTAAATGCAATGAGTAGTTAACAGAACCTCTTTAATTTTTATTTAGTTCGATTATTTTTACTTGTGTACCCTGCTCTAAGTTTAAGCGCGCAGGATTTTCCAATCCTTAGTTATCCTTGTTTTTACAGCGGAAATTGGCTGGTTCTGGTTATTTTTAACAAAGTACTAGCTTTTTGTTGAGGAATAGGTATCTGGTGAAACTGTAACCATTGCAATGTGTCGCTAGTTTTACAGTACCCTCGTCGATGGCGACTTAAAAAAAAAAGAAAGCTTTAAATACTGGGTGGTGAAGTTCGATTGGTAAGCACTTTACGAAATTCACCACATCCGAGGGACGTTCAATGTATTATTGGTATCACAATGAAACTCAACTCGAATTAAAGTCCAATATATTTTTATTTTTCAATATAACTCCCCACAACCTCAATACACTTATTGTTTCTTGAAATTAATTTTTCAATGCCCTCAGAAAAATATCTTTCCTCCTTGTCCGAAAAATGGACATTTATTGTCGACTTGAGCTCTTCATCATCAAAAAATTGTTTTCCACGAAGATCCTTTTTCAAATTCGGGAAAAAGAAATTACTAGGAGCCAGATCTGGGCTACATGGTGGGTGATTGATTTCTTCAAAGCCACAATCTCGTATAGCGGTCTTCAAACCACGCGCTGTGTGAACCGGAACCGTTATCATGAAGAAGCAACACCGGTAGCCAGTTTTCCCCGTCTTTTTTCTTTAATTGCTTCCTTTAAATCATATAAAGTGGTAGCGTAAGATGCTGCATTGATGGTTTCACCATTTTTCGTGTACTCAATCAATAAAATTCGTCTTGTATCCCAAAACACTGTGGCCATGATTTTTCTGGCGGATGGAGTGACTTTAAATTTTTTATGGGGGTCTTCACCCTTCTTTTGCCACTGCATAGACTCTTGCTTACTTTCAGGATCATAGTGATGAACCCATGTTTCATCTCAAGTAACAATACGGTTCAAAATGCTTGTTGAATTTTCCCCACAAAGCGTTAAAAACTCTCTACTGCACCTCTCTTGTTTTTGGTGTGATGTGAGCATTCGCGGTACCCACCTTGAACTCACTTTTGAGAGATTAACAGCCGCACTTAGAGTCGTTTAATGATTACTTAAGGTGTCCCTCAGTAACGATTAGAAAAAATTCCCTCTCAGAGTCAGTTAATGTTTCGTTAACGGCATGT